CAAAATTTGTTTACACTTACCCAGATGATGTTCTCTGGTCAATTTCTTTGTACTCAGCATTACGACTAGATATAATTCTATTCATTTTACGAATTTCATCTTCTCTTGTTAATTTGACTTGGGTTAATTCTGTGATATCTGTCTGCAATCTGTTAAGTTCGTCCTCAGCTATGACAAGATGTTCTGCTGTTTCTTGTGCTCTTCTTTCTAGCTCCTCTGCATCTTGTCGAGTGTTGGTAAATTTCTGTACTGCATCATCATATCGATCAATGGTTTCCTTGGCCTTGGTGAAACATAAGAAGAATTAGAATCATTACTTAACAAGGAAGAGATATATTACGTCACAAGTTTAATAAATCAAAATCGTTATTTGTGTGTACATATCAACTCCTTAGCATGCCCTATACAGCATACGTTGATGCTTTTTTTAATTATATTTTTTATGCAAGGTTCCAATTCCCTGATATTTTTTGGGGTTGCTTTTGGAGCTCATTGCAAGTGCAAGCGCAAACCAGTCTCTCAAACCTAATAGTGTGTGTAAAATCCTGAGCAGGCTGTACTATATTGCTAACAGTCAGTCAGGAATCAAATCAAGAACTTCCCTGATACAAGGTGTACAACTGTACCAATCTTCATACTTCAGCTGTGATTCATCTGTCGTTATTATTATGTTTCATGTAACATGCTTCATAAATTTATATAAGTGGTTCATATTTTGATTTAAATGACTCACCTTTTGCCTTGCTTCTTTGAGATCAGCTTTACAGTCATGTAACAACCTATCAGCCTCTCTCAGCTCAGCACGTCTCTTACTCAGTGTCCTTTCTAAACAGTTTATCTCATCAACAACATCTTCTTTCCTTTGCGATGCTTCTTCATCATCTTCATTATCATCAACTTTGTATGTTTGTGCACCATGAAGAAAATCCCTAAAATTGAAGTACACATGAAAAATAGCACACAATCTGTGGTAATACATGACATCAGATTTGATGGTGTGATTTCAGTGCAATTGAGTACATAAAAGTATGTGGCAATTACCGGGTAATTTGCAATACTTCATTAGTGCAAAGCAATATAGTAACTTATATAACAGGGGACATGTATATTGCATTGCATAAAATTAATTGCTGAGACGAACCTTCTTTTTAATTCCTTTTCTCTAAAAGTTTTGAAATCATCTTTTTCTTTCTCTTTTGTTTTTCTCATCCTTTGTAATTCTTGCAGAGCCTCTTCCTTATCCTTTTTCAATTCTGCATCATCCTCTTTTAATCTCCGTAGTGTAGCTTTCTGTCGCTCCACTGCCAGATCCAATGCATCCAGCTCTTCTCGTTTCTCCTGACAAGAGAAAATATTTGAGTATCACAGTGGAACAAATTTTATGTGTACCACCACCAATAGCAATTTTAATACTATAAAATACTTTATTTTTGCTTGGAATTCATTTTCACTATATTCACTGAAGAAATGATTCAGTGAAAATAAAATCAAGCGAATATACTTTTTTTCCTATATTTTATATTTAACTCATCAAAAATCAGTGAAAATAAAATCCATGTAAAACACCAAAAAGTTCTTTTCAGTGAAAATTAATTCCAGCTAAAATAAAGTATTTCAAAGTACATGTTTCTTTTATGCAAATGCAACTTGAATCATCTCAGTATACATGCTCTCACTCAGTAGACATGCCTACAAATTACTTTCAAATATGTTTACATACAAGTCTCGTGTCAGAGCTTACATATGAAAACTCAGAATGATTAACCATTAAGTCAAATAGTGTAAGAAAATACAACTAGTTTCATTTGATGCTGGACCACTGAGATGTGCAGCTAATATTCTTAAGACATTTTCAGGATGTGGTAGAGTTATTTTCGTGAATTTTGCTTTTTTTGTTATTACTTTTGTAAAGTTATTGGGCTCATAATTTTAACAAAATTAAAACTGAAACACATCTAGTATACCTTTTTTTTAAAAAAATAAGAAAAACTACTTGTATAACGGGACACGGTACATGGTACACTTTGTTTTTTAGATAAAAGTCTGGACGAAGACGGAAGACAGAAACAGTGCACACTGAAGACGACGCGGTCATATCAACTCCGGCTCCTGATTATTGATCAGTCACAAAAAAAGAGGCCCCAAGAAAAAACTCGAAACGCAGTTCAGAGGAAGCGAAACTTTACCTATAACAGAAACGCATTGCCGACAGTACAATGGGGTTCACACACTTAAAGTTATTACCGTAAAACCAAGAGGGTAACATTTCGTTTGCATAACATGATCAATTTCCATCTTCCAAAAATTCGGGCAGACAATTTAATATCAATCAAAAATCTGTATTAGTCGGATTAGCAGTTGGGAGAGGTCGGCGAGGTTTGAAAAAAAATAGTGTCTTATGTGGGATTGAGTTAACTAGTACTAGGGGTTGGCTTTAGGTATGTCGACCTCTTTCTCCGGTTACTCGGCAAGCGTTTGTTTTACAGACCACGCTTTGCAAGTAAACATGATTTGAATATATAATGAGATGACGTCATTTATCTCTCTAACTGTTCAACATTATGCCGGGCTGCTGTGTACTGTGACAACTTCGCTTCTTTTTAGAGGACGAATCCGAGCCCAACACTTTATAGTTTTAGAGGCTATTAAGTGACTCCATGATATGTGTTTTGTTGTAAAAATCAGTCAATCTGAGGCTTTAAATGTCCAAAATTAGTGCAACATGACAATTTTTTTTGTTTTTTGGCATTTTCAGGCAGACGCCATAAAGGTCATTCAAGTGAGTTGTGCGTCGTCAGAAATTTAACGTATTGGCACAGAATAAAACCCTTGAAGCATTTTTTGATAACTCCTTGCAACGAAAATATAAGGCTTTTAAATTCCTTGTCTATGGGTGAAATAACAAAAAAAATGTAAATTGATGTCATAGTAAACAAATATGCGATCCATGTTCTAACACTCTCGAGGCATTGACGGGGCTGATGCTGCTTAGATTTTTCAGCTTTCTTTTTTTACAAGACCCCTACGGTTTTTATACAAAACTCACTTTTTATTCAAAATAACACCACTATGTTTACTTATTAATCACATGACTAATTCGTGGTACATGTCGCAGATAATTTTTTCAAAAAGCCGGGAACAAGGGCTTCAAGAAAATATATAATTTGCTACGCTTCAAAACACTTTTCCCTACGAAAACAGTTTTTACATTTTAAAGCATGATAACTCTACCGCATCCTTAAATTCCTTGTCTATGGGTGAAATAACAGGAAAAATGTAAATTGATGTCATTGTAAACAAATATGCAATCCATGTTCTAACACTCTCGAGGCATTGACGGGGCTGATGCTGCTTTGATTTTTCAGCTTTCTTTTTTTACAAAACCTCTCCGGTTTTTATACAAAACTCATTTTTATTCAAGATAACACCTCTATGTTGACTTAGCAATCACGTGACG